GGCACCTGGGAAGCTTACATCAAGATTCAACCAAGCTTGGGACTCAAGACAACCTACAAAGTTACATTTGCATGGCCCCATGGGAGTCTGACAAACAATCAGGATACATTTCTTGCCACAGGAACAGGAAGCAAGTTCAAAACCCAACAGAGGGTATAAATCTCTCTCCCTCTCTCTACCATGTGCTCTTTTTTTGCCCTGAACTTCAATGTGGTCCTGTCCACTATTAAAACCATCCTTCGAAGCAGCCTTCATGTTTCCAGTGTCTTTCTTCCCACTTGGAACTGAATCCAGATGGATATTTCTTCCAACACAGGGATGTCAAACTCTGGGGCCAGCCCCAGCCCGTGAGGTACTTAGATCTGGCCTGCAGGGCACCCTGGAAACAACAAAGGACCGGCCCACAATGCCTCTTCCAGTGAAAACAGAGCTTGTGAGGGCTGCATGCAGCCCTCCCGAGTTCCATTTTCACTAGCAGATAGTTGCAGGAGGCCGTTGCAACCAAAAACAGAGCTCGGGAGCCCATTTTTGCTGGCAGAGAGCTTGGGCCACCATGATGAGTGATGTCATGCTGGCTATGCCTATCCTGGCCATGCCCATCCTGGCCCCCCAAGGTCAAACACAACTCTGATGCGGCCCTCAATGAAATCAAGTTTGACACCCCTGAGCTAAGCAGTAGCACAAAGGAACAAATGAGGAGGTGGGGAATAGAAACAGAAGTTACTCTGTATATAATAATGTGATAATGTATAACAGAATAACAGAGTTGGAACGGACTTTGGAAGTCTCATAGTCCAACCCCTCACTTGAGCAGGAAACTCTATACCATTTCAGACAAATGGCTGTCCAATGTCTTCTTTAAAAATCTCCAGTGTTGGAGCACCCAGAACAAGCCATTCCACTAATTAATTGTTCTAATGGTCAGGAAATTTCTCCTTAGTTCCAGACTGGCGGTGTGTTGTCATGTCAATTTCAAATCAAAAATATGCTTTATTTCAATTATGCACATTTAGTTTTAGCAAAAAAATATAGCATTGGAGGTCCCCAAATGTTTCTTACACACTGAAGCATTCAGCAATGCCATTCAGTTGTGCATTTTCCCACCCATACCATTGTATGCAACAATATAATATGGAGGAAGAAAATCCATTTCAGCAGGGGCTTCCATGTTCAATGGCAGTTCTGTGTCAAATAAGATCCCCAAAATACTTTCTACAAATAGCACAGGAGTACGGAATATGACAATACTGAGAAAATCTGTACCTGGTGGTATGTATTTCAAACAGCTATTACAGGCACAGGAGCTGTTTGGCAACAGGTCTTGGCAGCCCAAATGCCCAATGCAATGCATGAGTCAGCAGTGCGAGCCCATTGGCCGCCAGCACTCCCCCACCCCCCCAAGAAGCACTATTGATTCTCCTCCAGCTATAGCACTTCGTACATCTTTCAGAAGATAATTTCTGGAATTCCAGCTCCCCACACGCTTGTTTTGTGTAAACTGCAGCAAGTTTCACTTACTCTGTAGTCTACCAGCTGTTTCTGGTCTGTGCAATCAGATGGGGAGATATTCAGCTTCAGTGCTTCTAATGGGCACTTCCTTTCTCTCCTTTTCTTCTTCCTTAGTTCAATCCTGATTGTAATGGCTAATTCCAGTTTAGGCTTATTTTAAAACAGCCTTTGCCAACCTGGCATTCTCCAAAAAGGACTGAATTACAAATCCCATTTTCCCCAGTCCTTGGTTTCTGACCCTGCTAGCTAGAGGTGATAGAACTTGTAGTCCAATGCGCCTAGAACATGGATGTCAAACTAGCCGCGTCAATGATGTTTCATGATGGTTTTTCCCTCTGCAGAGCTGGGGTGGGCATGGCTTGCATGTTATGCATCCAGCCTGCAGGCTGCCAGTTTGACACCCTTGGCCTAGAACAAATGATGCTATTCTGGATATAGCCCCACCCAATGTTTACTTGAAAAGGAAAGGAGCCCAACGTTTCTTCTTCGTCACACTTATGGTATACCATAATGTAAAAGCAACATGACATAACATAATATAATGTAATGTAACATCACACTTCATATCACACCACACCACACTACACAACATGCCACAACTATAAATGAAATTGTGTGAAGATGCTGTTATCACTATACAATGAGCTATAAAGAGTAGTGAAAGTATTGGACTAGGAATCCAAAGATCCAGAACTTCATTCAGATGTTAAGCTTGCTAGGTGATTATGGGATATTCACTGTCATTCCGTTTAATATTTCACAGAAGGAGGTAGAAACTACTTATATAAGCTTCATCTCCTTGGCAGGATATGAATAGTGATAATAATCTTAGTTTGTATTAAAACCATAAGAGTGCCACTACCCCAATTCCCCAGATTTCTAAGGATTTGGTTTTCTGCAGCTTTACCATATTATACTTTCCATTCAGCTCTAAATTTCAATAGTGCTTCTAGCTACTTAAATAGGATACAATGGTAAGTTGCCTTCAAACCAAGCACAACACCAGGCGATTTCATGGACACATCATCCATGTAATTTTCTTGGCAGCGACAGAGAAGGCCATCCCTTGCCGCCTTCTGGAGTGCTCTTCATATTCCCAGGCTATCGCATGGCCCTTGTATTTCTTGGGAGTACCCCATCCACGTATTAACCAAGCTTGGCCCTGCCTCAGTTCTAATTCTACAAAAGGTTGACCAGATGCTTACACTTGTTGAGGAAAAAAAACAAGATGCACCTCCTAAGAAATTTCCCAGATAGAATCAGCATGTTTTTTTTTTTAAATTTGTGAATCTGAGGAAGATAGACAACTTTCGTTTTAGGAATGCCTCCCCTCCATCTGTAAAATCCGACAGGGTGGCTGAATCTAAAAGTGCACGGAGATAAAAACACATTTACAAACTCGGTTGTTAGGGAACCACTGTGTGGGGGTGGATGGTTGCTGTAGTCCTCCTTCAGTGGGCTTCCCATGGATAATTGATTCACTTCTATGGAACAGTCTAATTGTGACTTTTTCTTCTTGGACTATCCATTCGTTCCCCTCCCTTCTCTCCACCTATGGCTTCCTTCCTCCCTCTCTCTTTCAGTTGCTTCTTCTCTCCCTCCCTCCTGTTTCTACGCTCTGTTTGCCCCTGCCTGGATCATGCCCAGTATTTCCTAGTCGAACCACAGACAACTACAATGATCTAATACATATCGATTTTACAGAAGACAATGTTGAAGAAGCACTACGCAATCTAAAACCATCTCTATCTATTGGACCAGACAGAATATGTGCCTACTTCTTAAAAAGCTATCTACTGGCATAGCCGAGAGGGCATCTAAAATACAGATGGTCCTTGCTTAATGACCACTCATTCGATTCAGCAACCGTTCAGACTTGCCAAGATGCTGAACAAATGGTAAGTACGGCTAGTCTTTGGAGTTCCAGCTGTTGCCATATTTCTGTGGCCATGGAATTATGGTCCAGGTGCTTGACCCCTGACTCACAATTACGATGTTGCAGTGTCTCATGGCTATGTAGCTGTCATTTGTGACCTTCTTTGCCAGCGTCCAACAAGCAAAATCAATGGGGAAGCTGGAAGGAGGCTACAAATGGCGACCATATGACATCCTCACTTAATGACCCTGAGTGATTCACTTACTGATGGCAACTAGGACTTCTGGAATTTCCAATGCTAAATGGCTCAGTCATGTGGCATCTCATTTTACAATCATGTTGCTTAGTGACAGCAACTCTAATCCCCTTTGCCCCTGTTAACTGAAGACTACTTATAGAAGAAAAAAAACTCCTTCAAGCACAAAAACCTTCTCCTTGGTATCTATTTGGGCGTGTCCAAGTTGTTTTCTTGGCAATAGGATTCCCTGTTTCCTACTTTGCTTAGCTTTTTGAAGATCAACCAAAGCCAGCAACCAACTTTTATTTCTAGCTTCACTAACCAGGAATAGGAGCAAATAATGACACAAATAAGAAATATCTGCATAGAGAATTAAGAAAAAGGGGGCCTCTGAGGATAGCATTTTGTGATCCCTACCAGCCAATTGGCCAACTATTTACACAATAATCCATTTCTGGATTTCCACCAAGCATTCTTTTTCAATGGCTTCAGCGGGGGAAGGGATGTATTTAATTGTTAAACACCTGGGGAAATGGAACCTCTGTTTATTCACAATGTACCTCAAACTATGCTGAGGAGTAACTCCAAGTCAAGATAGGTGCCCCTCCCAGAGAAGTAGGTCATTCATTTCTAGGCCAGGGAACATCTGAGAAAGCTTGGTCTCCCCTTGGTCTCTCTCCCTCCTTCTACATAAAAAGGGCAAAAGAGTCATCTCTGTTTTCCCGCCAGACTTTCTGAAATTTGCCTGAGGAATTTCTGAGATCTGCACTTAATACAGATCCAGTTCCTAGTAGCACACATGAAGATTCTTGCAGGAATTTATTTATTTATTTATTAGATGTTTTTATCCTACCTTTTTATTTGATAAGTAACTCAAAGCATTGAACATACCCCTCCCTCCTTCTATTTTCCCCACAATAGCAATCCTGTAAGGTGGGTTTGTGAGAGACTGACTGGCCCAAAGTCACCTGGGCAGCATTCGGTCCGAAGGTGGGATTAGAACTCACTGTCTCCTGGCTTCAAGCCTTAGGTGTGATTTAGACTTCTGTGCCAATGTACGTCAGGGAATGTATTCTTCTGGTATTTGTCCATGGCTAGTATTACTACATGTAGGACCTTACACCTGTTGTGGGCCTGGATAACCACTTACTCTTTGCTGTCATCTAGTAGTCGCCCCAAATTTTGTAGCACATATCTGGGACAACCCAGACAATCTGTAGCACAAATCTGGGACAATTAATACCATCTCTAAACAAATTTGTTTCTTCACTGTATAAAGCACACATAACGTATTTCCGTCTACCTGCAATACACGATTTTCTGCCCTTCTTTGGCTATTTGCTGGGTGGGATGAAAGAAGTCAGGCAGGTTACTTACCGTGACTGTTTTTATCCGTCCCAGTTGCCTAGTACAACTCCAGCCAGAATGGTTGATTAATAAAGTGCATTGCTCTCCTTCATCACAGGGCTCCATCCCACACCACTGTTTGTTAACAATGATCTGGGCTGCCGGACACCAGCAGGGAAGTCAAAGAAGAAGGAAACATTGAAGGTGAGAAAGGGAAAGAAAAGAGAGGAAAGAAAATTAGGCACACATTTAACAGAATTATCGATAAAACATGAGACTTTTTAAAGCCTTGACATTTATTTTACAGTGCAAACCTCCAGTTGAGCCAAACTGAGATGTCTAGGAATTGTAGTCTGAAAACATCTGGATGACCTCAAATTTGGGGAAGCTCTCATCCTTCCAAATGAGACTCTCTGGTCCCTGCCCCCACACAACCGCTGCATTTCTGGGAAGGGATTTCCTAGGATGGAGCTAGAACAAACCGAGAGTTAAGACTGCAGGGCTCTAAGCACCACTCTCCAGAACAGAATGGATTCGTGCTAAGATCCCTTGGGATTCTGCTGTGGGTTGTTGTTGTTTTTTTTGTTTACCATTGAGAAAAATATTTCAAAAGAGAGACGCCAACTGTACTGAGAAAAAACCAGAAGCTGTGAAATGGGAAAAATAGCAGCGTGGAGGAGCACCGTAAAGGGTTAAATGCAGAGCTGCAGAACAGGGATTACGTCTATGGTGCTTTCTGCTGCAACTCCTTCAAATATGAGATAACTACCACCTGTGGGCTCAGAATAGCCTTACGTTCACCATACATATTCACCCACTCAGAGGCCCTGTATATTTCCTCCCCGCCACCACCCCACATAGCAACACTAGGGAGCATGTTACTGTTGCACAACCACAGCACGTAGCAACACAAGATAACAGATGACTGTATCCCAAAACCTCAGGAAAGCATCCTGCGAGGCCTGGAAAAGAGCTTTTTGCCATCACATATTCAAGTCAGTAATACTGGCTGCCCACCAGCAGTGAGCAACTTTGGATCTCTCCAGGGCTACATCCTCCAGGAGTAAAGAAAATGTGGGGAGAGGGTCTGTGTGCCAATAGCTGATGAAGCCAAAGCAAGCAGACTTAAGTGAGATTGGCTCATTCTTTCACTGCTTCTTTTATCACTGACGAGTGAAAGAGGGCAGAGTAGATGTTTTTGATCCAAAGTCAGGGTTGCCAAAGGCTTTGGAAATTAAGCTGCAAGAGACTTGATAGTAAGTCAAGAGCCACATGTGGCTTTAGCAGCTCAGGTTGTTGACTTTTGAGTTAGGCAGTGGCTGGGTTTTCTGCAATCACATGTATTTCTTTAATGCTCCACAACACATTGATTCAGAAGAAGCAGAGTTCTGCTTGTTTAGGAAGGAAGGAGGGAGAAAGTGCTCTGCAGCTCTCTGAAAAAAATGTTTCCTGGGAATTCTCCAGATTAGTCAGAGGGGAAATGGAGGAGACCTCAGGGGAAAGGGGACCAAACCAAGACGGCCTTTCTGTCAGAAATGGGAGCCCTTCCACTCATGGAAAAGCTACTGGAAATCACAATCCAGCTGCTCCATTCAACTATTATGGTCATAGTCATAGCACAGAATCTATACTCTTTCACAAAGCCACATTCACACCCACACAATCTTGTTTGGGCATCCCAAAATAGGAAGAACTCTGTGAGAACTACCAATAAGAGCCGCCGCCTTTGACCTCACTCAAGAGGATTGACCTCACTCCTGTTGAAGATTTCCACAGATAAAACAGAGGGATCTGCGGGGGAAACCCTTTATGGGAGTGCTTGCAAATACACTGCTGTCCATACACAGAAACCCTAATTCTTGCTCACATGGGACACACAGAGATTTCCCCGTGCCCACCGACCCCAGATATCATGAGGCTGGAGGCTCCTATTCTGAACACCTTGGTAGTGTTTCAAAGGTCAAGAGTCCCCCTTCAGATGAACACCAACCCCTAAACAAGCATCAGTGAACTATCTACAATGACGGGCTGATCAAAAAGAAGTTGTGATGTGTCTCGTCAGTGGGAAAGAGAGGTCTTTCAACTAGAATGTAAAGTAGCTCTGCAACAAGCAAAAATCTCATGAATGAATATGCCAGTTGATTTTCTTGAATTGCAATGTAATTCCAGAAAAAAAAAATCTGTACATTTTTGCATGCATTAGTCTGGGACTTTGTTGTTAAATCTCGTTAAACACTGCCTGATTTCTTTTTTTAACAGAATGATCTAATAACACAAACAGAAATCTGTCTCTGCCAACACCAATTTGTCTATTGTTGGACAAATAGTAACTGTTATAAATGATTAAGGGCAATCGTTTAGTTCCAAACGTGTCCAAACACTGACAAAGGAACAGTTTTTATGGGTCCATTTTAGTAAGTGCCTTGATCAAATCCAAAGGCTGGGTACCAACTCTTCAAAAGGTCACAGAAGACAAATGCCCCATCTCTTGTGTTGATTCGTGATGACAAAACAACCCCAAACCCAGTTTTGTTTTGTTTTGTTTCTCCTTGAGTTACACTAACAAAACTCAATATTTTTCTAAACTTTTAATTTCTGGGAATGCCCCTAGCTTTAGCTCGAAATGCGGTCTCCAGAATGGAAAAGCCATCACAGATGCTATTAAGTTGCTCTCATAGACCTTCATGGGTCCCTGCAATATGTCTCAGTCACTTGTATCAAATTGCTGGTCCTCGTGGACCAGATTGATGGGTCTTTGGTGCAATTAAACAAGAGTGAAGGCAGCCTTACTTTCTTACCATCTACACAGGCAGGTTTTGCTTTCGTTGTTCCAGCAACTTGTCCTCTTCGACAGGCACACCGTGCTGTCTGTCGGGCAATCATCCTTTTGGGATGGCTCATATCTCTATCCAGGGCTGTGATCTCACATGTCCCTACCTCGAGCTCCTTTCCTGTTGAGATAGAAGACAGATTTAATCCCTTCACACACAAAGATGCAGGAAAATAATGCAGCCTGTTTACTGGAAAAGGAAGTCAGGAGCTTGGACCCTGGATCCTAAGCTAAAGAGAGTCCCTGTGGTGGCAACAGCTCTAATTTATACAGGTGCCCCAGAAAAAGATGGCAGGCAACCAATTCAATTGAGTAAAAGTTTTCTAATCTTACAGATGGGAGTCCAACAAAATCACTTTTGCAGGCATGATGAGCAAGTACACTAATCGACTATACAAAATTGTATCAACATCTTCTATATAACTTCTGCTAAAGGATGACATTGTGTACGTTCATACAAATTCACAGAACCCCCCTAGGGGTTGTAGAATTCAGCACCTTCTCATGTAACACATTGGTATCCAGGTATGCCTACAAATAATTCTTGCAATATCACCAAGAGAATTGCTGTGCTGTATTTCTTTTATTGGCTGGGAGGATATGATTATTTCTAAGGTGCTGGGGGTTCTGTATGCTCCCACACTGAGAAAAGTGAGCCCATTCAAGCTTGGCTTGCTGGCTAACTAACCTAATAAACTCTCCAACCTAGCCAAACAAGAGGAAATTCCAAAGCCATTAATCTGCACTACCGTGTTATGATCCATGTTGCAAGCTTTATTTATTTATATATTAAGATCATGTCTTCCTTTACAAGGCCAAGGCAACATAGATACTTCCTCTTCCAATTTTATCCTCATTAAAAAAAGTCTAGAATGATAGTTGCCATATTAGAATTTAAGTATTTCAATCTTAGTTTAATACCCCAGCTATAATATCATCTTTTGATATGAGAAAATACTGAAGCATTTTTCACCTCTTGTCTTAGAGCCACAGAGTTTGAATTTTAAAGAAACATTAGTTTACCATCATTGCACAACTCACATTCTGGTTCAGCCTTCATAAATCCAAGTTAAGGTTTGTTTAACCACAGCTTGCCAAATAACAAAAAAAGGGTTGTATTCATACAACTAATTAAATCATAAGTTATGTTTTGCAAACAGTTATACCAAAACCAAACAAACATTTTTGCAATTCAGTGTGATATGAGAAATGGACTACTAGATCCTCAGTTAGAGAACCACTTTCAGTCATATTGACACTGTTTTTTTCTTTCTTTCTTTTATCCCACCAAAGGAAGTCTATGGTAGAATTGGGCAATGGCAAAGCTTCCTTGTGTTAATATTCATATTTTCCATATTGGTTTCTTGCTTGTACAACACGTTGGCCAGATATTGCTTCTTATATTATTGACTCCCTAGACCCGTCTTCTTGATTAAAGAAGAAGAAAAATCACATGGATTTGTTCAACAACTGTAGATATTATTGCTAATGGCCTGCTATTAATTGCTGTTTAAGCACAAACATTCCTTCCTACAAAGGTTACACAATCTGACTAATAATCTATTCTGGACTATAACTTTTTTGATAACCTGGTCTGAATTCCTGCCATATTTTGGCATGCTCTATATATAAAATATTTGAAATACGCTCATACTATATTTATACCCTGCCCTTTTAAATAGGTTCAACCCCTTATCTGTTTCCTTACTTCCCCTATTTAGGTGAGTAGCAACAATTTCTCATTTCTTCAGTTCTTCTTCTTCAATGGCATTTGAATAAAGAAAACATACGCAATCACTCCAATTTATACAGGCATATATGGCAGCCTCTTCATATTTTTTTGAATTGTAATATGCACATTCAATGTCTGGCTTGCTTCTTCTCCTAGAACGAGTTATTTGTTATCTGAATAAGTATATCAGAGAGGCCAAGACATTTCTATTAGAACTACATTTGCTGGATGTGATTTACCGTGCTACCTCTTCTTTTTATTATTTTTCCTGCTTGTGATGACTTAGGTCCCGAAACTCTCCAACTGTGCTGTGCTACTGGTATCATAAAGGAATATATTCATCATATCTTGGATTTTCCTATGCAACAAGGAACCATGCCCTCCAGCATCAACCTGTTGAGCTGCCTGCCTACATCATTCTTGTGAGGGAATTTCTGTAATCCAACCTTGCAAAGAGAACGAAGGGATGGATATGTGGTGAACCTCAATTGCATGTAATTGTGCAGTGAAGCCTGTGCTCAGTGGCTTTAGCTCATCAGGCCCTAGTGCTCTTCTTGCAAAAGCCTTCAAAAACCTGATTCTAAAGAGCTATATGTGAAGGGTGAATTGGATTTGGGTGCTATCTACTAATTTGCAGGGCATACAAAACCTTTGTTAGACCAATACTTGAATATAGCTCATCTGTCTGGAATCCGCACTGTATATTGGACATTGATACAATTGAGTGAGTCCAAAAGTATTTCACGAGAAGAGTACTACACTCCTCTGCTCGTAACAGAATGCCCTATATCACCAGGTTTGAAATTTTAGGCATGGACAACCTTGAACTACACCACCTATAGTTAGACTTAAGCGTAGTACACAAAATTATCTGCTACAATGTCTTACCAGTCAATGACTACTTCAGCTTCAGCTGCAACAATACAGGAGCACAAAACAGATTACAAATTCAATGTAAACTGCTCCAAACTTGATTGCAGAAAGTACGATTTCAGCAACAGAGTGGTCAATGCCTGGAATGCACTACCTCACTCTGTTGTTACATCCTCTAACCCCTACTCCTTTAACCTCAAACTATCCACTATTGACCTCACCCCATTCCTAAGAGGTCTGTAAGGGGTGTGCATAAGTGCACAATCATGCCTACTGTCCCTGTCCTATTGTCCCCATTTATTTGTACCTATTACCTCTATTCTTACTCATGTTTATACTTATACCTATTATCTTGTAAGTGATTGACAAATGAAATAAATAAATAAAATAAAATATAGTGACAGCATACAATGTTTTCTCTATATCTTTCTAGTTTTGTGTCTGAAGTCAGACACACTGGCCATTTGGGTCAGGGGAGAGGAATCTTTTAAGGGCAAAGCAATGTGTTGGGGGCTATACAGGAAGAGGAATGTTTAGTTTGGGATGATATCAGAGTGTGGGGCTAAGAACTTCACCCTGATGATACTCATGCGTTTTCTCTCTTGTGTAATTTATTTCCCTTGCTGTGCACAACAGGCAAGGGCCACCCTCCAGGCAGTGTTGACTGGAGAATTTTTAATTCTGCTCTTCATCGCATTCTCTTTCTTCCAGCTGGTAACTGCTGAGCTGGATCATGGGCAAAAACAGGTGGTGCTACTTCCTGGGGCTTTATAGTCCATTTCAAGAGCCACTTTGACCTCGGTACAGCTTGCCAACTTCAAGTTTCCAAATTACGATTTAACTTATGATGACCAGATCTTTAATGATCTTTACAACAAGAACCAGGAATAGGAAGACATTCCCCTTCCTCCAGATGGTTTAGACGGGACAGGAATGCTGAAAAAAATTGTATCTGTACATAGCCGTTGCTCACTGTGAGTATTTAAAGAAGTGCTATAAAATGCCCAGTTCATGGATCAAAGCTGTGAGTGTCTTACATATCATTCAAGAAATGAAAAATAAAACCCTCACTGTTCATGATGTGCCCATGTTCTAAGGGCCTGAGATATATTTGTATAGTGCCACAGACTGGAAAGATACTCTGCAAAAGCTTAGCAAGAAAACATAACCAGTTGGCTACTTTCTTCAACAAGAATAGTGTTGAAACCAAAGTTGGAAGAAAGCTGCAAACATTCTAGTTCAGTGGTGGAGATGTGCCAATAGTCATTCTATCTTCAATTCTTGGTCTCTGTAGGCTGGGTTGAGAAAACATTGATATCCCAAAGCCTTAAGGAACCACAGCCAGTCAATACCAAAAATCATGGGTCTGGTTTCAATATTCCTAAAAAATACTGAAGACAAAAAGTATAAACTGTTCTTCTCAGTGTTTTTATTTAAAAAAAAACGTATGCAGCAGTTTATTTCTGGGCTGTGTACAAGCACTCAGTTGAGTGGGTTTTTTTTTCCTAATACCTTTTCCACAATGCTTGTGCAGACACTTCAAGGAACACTACCCAATTCAAGTTCACTAAAGGCCATGGAACAGTATCTAAAGAAAAATGCATTTGTAATTATATCTTTCCAACTACTTCTTGCCTATAAGTAGATGTTATAGAAGATATGTACCCTTTGAAACAATTCAGAAAGCAGAGGGGGATGAAGGGCAAATCAAAATGAATGCAGAATTAAGAACTGAGAACCAATGGAAAAATTTGAAAAATATTGATTAAAAAATGTAAATGCTTCCATTCCTTTAATTGACTATCTAAAGAATGAACAAAGTACAATACGTTACTATTTTTAACTGATGACCACCAGATTTGGGCTGTAATGTTCAGAATGACCTCTAGAAGGCAGCAAAGAGATACACTGAGCTGTAACTCTTTTCTGCCATCATCTGGATATTTGCAGCCAAGATGCACTACTCCCAAACCACATGAAGCGAACATCTTCCACCACCTGATATCCTTTAGACGTGTTAGTCTACAACGTCTACCATATGCTATTTTTTTTAAATGACGGCAGCTACAGTCCAATATTGTTAAGAGTACTGCATCAGATTGAAACAGGCAGACTTAACAGATTAACAGTTCTTGTAAACATGAGATAAGTTTAAGTAAAATCAAATCAATGGATAATTTGCAATCATGTTTTTGATTTGCAATGATTTAATCAACAGAAACTCAAACAGAGCCAGTTTGGTGTAGTGGTTAAGACACTGGGTTAGCGATTGGGAGTTCCACTCCAACTGCACAAAGCCAACTGGGTGACTTTGGGCCAGTCATTTTTCTCAACCCCAGGTAGGAGGCAATAGCAATCCATTTCCAAAACCTTGCCAAGAAAACTGCAAGAACTTTTCCAGGTAGTCCCCAGGAGTTCGGTGACTTGAAGGCACACACATACCCAAACCTGTGTTACCCCTAAGTCACAAGCATCCATAGTTATGGCCTTTCAGATGCTGACTTGTATATAAACAT